CTCCTGCTTAGCCAAAACAAATAGCTGGCTCTGTTATAAAGAAAGCCAGGTTTGCATCAGTTTGATACCAATAACTTCAATATGACCTTGTTAAGAAGAGTTATCTGAAAATGTTCTGGAGGGTTCAGAATTTAAATTTATAGTATGTATGAGAAATAGAGATGGAGAGTGAAATAGAAAAACCAACCACAGAAGCTCATGAATATTTGAGGAGAAACCAACGTGCTTCCATGGAAAACGTATACATTTTAGAATCTGACAGGACTTAGATTTGTGCAATGTTTGACTCTGAGCAAGGTATTTCACCACCGAGTCTTTGCATTACTGTATGTGAAGATATTGAGAGCATCTATCAAGATTAACGTAAAACCCCTCATCACTCAGTGCCTTCCTTGTAAATATAAGATAGACGTTAATAGTAGCCATCACACATATGCATTCATATTAAAAATACTAAGAATTAAGTGTCCTTTGTCACAGAAAATATCACTCTGAAAAGACTCTAGATTCTACAAAACTACCATATTTTGAATGTCATGTGCTCCTCCTTCTGACTTTAGTAATTTGGAATAGGCTTTAATGGATCAGAAGCAATAACAGTAGCACATCTACTAACAACATAGAACGTTTCTGAAACTTTCTCAAGCTTATCTTGGACATTAAAGTGAAACTAAAGTGCAGAAAAACCCTCAACTCTCATCTACCCCGTAAGTCAAAATGTTCTTGCCTATAAGGCTAGGGGATCTCGCAAACACTAAACCTCATAAATGTGCAGACTATGAAGTGAAGAAGGTACAACAGGGCATTTACAACTAGCAGAAACAAGAGATGGGCAAGGATCAATCCAGGAAGTCACAGGTGGTTTGATGTAAAAGAAAAACGAAGTTGCTTAGCCTCCAAAGGTCAAAACTTACATTTTGGCCTTCTTAGTATTATACTTGACAAACTAAATCAGATCATACTGCTCTCTGACTCAAAGACCTCGAATTTCCTCTCCACTCAGTGTGAAGGTCAAGTCTCCTCCATGGCCTATAAGACCCTCCATGAGGTGGCTCTGCAGCAGCACAATGAAGTCCCTTCCTGTTCCTCACACCTTACTGACTCCAAACACACAGGCCTCTTGGCCACCTCCTGAACAAAAGCATAGTACTTCATCTGGGCCTTTCCACTTAATGTTCCCTCTGTCTAGAACAGTGTTTTACTTAACTACAAGGCCTGCTGCTGTTGGCTTCAGGTCTCTACTCAAGTGCCTGTGTCAGGGAGGCCTTCTCTGGTCCCTCTACTTAAAGTATATCTGTCCCTCACTGCCCCCAACCACCAAAACTCTGTCCTTCTTCCCTGCCTTTTCTCCCCAGTGCTTATCATCACCTAAAGGACTATAAAATTTTAGTTATTCGTCTTTCTCTCTCCGCTAGAATGCAAATTCATAAGGACAGTGCTTCTTTTCTGTTTTGTTCATATGGTTGCCTCGGGAATCCACACATAAAATAGTTTTGGTAGAAAATAGTCAATAAATATTTGCTAAACAGTTTGAAGAAAGCAACACGGGAAGGCAGGGAGAGTTCCTAGTTTTTGTGAAGTTTGTAAAATGATTAAAAAAAACTAAAAATACTCAGGATGTACTTTTTAGTGTACACACACACAAAGAAGGTAGTTACAAAAGTGAATACATACAATATATAATTAGAGATTATGTTAAAATAGAGAAACTAATAAACGTCATCTCAATATTATAAAATTATGAATAACATTGTTTACTTCTTGACTTCTTTATTTCTCAGTTATTTACAATGAGCTTAATTATTTTCATACTAAAAGTATTTTTTAAAATAATAAGTACCACCCCCTCTCTTTTAGAATTCTATTCACTGAAAATTCATTTATGTTAGTCAAAGAGAGGTTAAGAGTATCTCCTGAAAAATATGCAGAGCTAACCTGCTGGTCACCACAGTTTTTGCAAATAGGTTGTCATTGGTTCTTTACATCAATAGCACTCATAAAAGATTTACAAGTGAAAGTATCAGTGGTTCATTCTATTGACAAGAGCATCTATAGTTACATAACCCATTTAAAGGGGGGAAATCCCCTCTCATTCTTTTCATTCATTTTAAGATGCAAATGGAGAAAAAGTTACTTAATACCACTACTAGATTGAACAAAGACTGCAAGAGTTTTATAACCTGCAGACACAAATATTAAATGTATGTAAATAAACATATTGGTTTTATATCACATGCTGAGGAAGACCAATAGTGGCTATTCTGTTACTGTTAGATAAAGAAATGAAAGCTAGTAAATCAATTACACGTTAGTATTTGGGTAGCATTAGTGACTGTGATTCTCCTGCTGTTTTAAAGAAATAACCTGAGTAAAAACAAAAAAGAACATAAAAGAGCTCTAGAACTAAATTTCCTTCTCATAAGCTTTGGTCTAATGCATGGCTGATGAAGCCATGAGAGAATTTTCTCACACATTTGATTTTATTTTAGTAGTTTACAGAAAATAATAAAGAACTTTATTTCTATTTGATTTCTAAAAGTTTGATTTAGTATGTAGCTCAAACTAATTCTCAATGTTCCATCTTTAGCCTCTACATTAAAAGCCTTGTATATTTTATTCCTTAATATAACTTGTAGTAGTTTCAGTGAAAACTGCTGTTTGATTTAGAGTAGATTTTTATTACTGAACTTCAAGCTATTTGTTAAAGATACATTATACTGACTATAACAATAACAAAAAAGATGTTTTAAAGTCTCCTCAAAGGAAAAATTTAAGAGTCTAAAATAGGTAATTATATATTATGCTAATTAAGAGCTATATTCTGATAAGCATAAGTGAAACAGTTTAGAATATGGCAGGTATCTATTGAGAATTAGCACCATATTTCTAGAAGGTGAATTATTATGAACAGAAGTTAAATTAGTCACAAATGGCAATGAAGAAAGTATAGAGAGAGCTTTTTCTGCCCTAGGAAGGTGAGACAGTAAGTCACATTGGTCAGTATAGCATACCTTTAGAATTCAGGTTTTCTAACTCAGCTGCCAAGATCAGCTGATACATTATCGTTCATCAACTATCAACTAAGGGTGGGGGAAGATGGACTGGGGTTCAAATCATTGTGGAGGCTGTCGAACTATAAACTTCTTTTTCATAGGCATCATTCTGTCTTCTTCCCGAGGTTCTGACATATTCTCCATTATATTCAACAGTCAGGTTCTGACATATTCTCCATTATATTCAACAGTCCTCAAATTAGAAGTACTGAAAACACTTTCTGAAGAGTTCATGAAATGCGAGTAGTTTTAAATAAGTCACTTTCCAGAATCTTTTAAAAATGGATCCTCCCAAGAACACCTCTTTTCTGCCAATGTCATCTTTATTCCCTTTCATAAAACAAAGGCAAACCTCTTATCTGAACTGAACTTTACTTTGGCTATTGCTCTGAGGTATAAACCATCTATGCATCAAACAAAGAGAACATTTTATATATTGCTAGCTAGCTTTGTAAGAAAGTGAATGACATAAACTAGATATAAAATTCTCAATTCTTGACACAAATTGAAAAAAGTAATTCAGCTGCCACTGATAAATTATTTAAAATAACTGATGATTTATTACTAAAAGTTCTTTGACATATGATGCAAAGGAGTTTATGATAGGCTAAATAATAGCTCCCAAAATATATTCACATCTTGATTCCTATAACCTGTGAATGTTACCTTTTTTGGCAAAAAATAAAATAAGACTTTGCTTGGCTTTTTGAGCCATGCTTCTCTTGTTCAGGCCCACTTCCATGTCTGGAAGTATACTTTCCCTTCTAATAAAACTTTTCTTTTCTACTGTTAAAAAAAAAAAAAAAAAAAAAAAAACTTC